AGAGTGGGTAAGTAAAACTGTACAATTCTCCTTCCCATAGATTGATGACCCTCTCATGGTCCCACTGCAGGGGTGATGACAGCTGGGGTATGCTAGGTGAATGGAACCATGGTGGGAGAAAGAGGTCATGCTCAGCCTGCTGCCTTCCACTTGCATAGATGATTTCCCCAGTGCTCCCTGCCACCCTCCAAAGATTGTGAAGGTGCCAGTGAGATATAAAGAGAGGATAGGAATGTGCAGGGCCATTTGTTCTGGACAGTGGAACCTGTAAGCAGGAAACCTCTATACCTCCTATATTGCAGTAGCTCCATTGGCATTTAGGTGAAGTAGGTATAACTGAGGTCTTGACCCTGGAAAAAGATTTGGGAAGTAGATATAACTGAGTAATGGGGCCGAGTTACCAAAATCCATCCCTGCTTTCTCAGAGATGACAGGCTCTTTCCAACTTTGCAAGCAGCACCAACACATGGTAGCTTAAGATCATCATTAATCTCCTGATATATGAAACATCAATCTCAGCATACTGAAGGTATCAAGATATATATGTATATGGAAAACAGTATGATGTATGAGACTGGGTTGTGGAGACCTGGCTACCCCAGCCCTATTTCATGTGCTGATCCACTTACCTCATCTGAGCCTGATGCCTCAGATTGAAAGCTCAAGGGCTTTTCAGCCCTACAATTTGACTTAAACCTGTTGAATTGACCAAAATTCATATTGATCTTAATTTAAGAGCCGGTGTTTCCTCCCAAGTCACAGAGACTTCACATTCCCATCCCCCTCTACAGCACCTTACCCTTGTACAAGCCTCATTTTATATATCCTTTTGCTATCCTGACTGAGAAAGGACTGGATTTCACACCTAATTAAAAGAGATTGCATTGCCTGCTGTTTCCTTTCTTGTTCGTTTTCTCTAGTGCACAAGCAGCTTTTCATTCTCATGCTAAGTCCTATTCCCTGGGCTCTTGCAGCTTAAGGGACAGGCAGGCACTGGCTTCCAACAAAACAGAGCCAGGCCCTCTGTCTCCTATTTCACCACAGGCAGATTTTCCCTTCGGTGCTCACCCTGCTTCAGCCCCATCCATGTTGTGCTCTCTCATAGAACCCAGGCACTTAGAATACATTGTCATTTTCAGAAGCACAATTCCTTGCATGTTTCTAGTGAATACCATCACTGGATGACTAGGTTTTTACTCTGGTGAAAAGGATGGTAGGTTATTTTAAAACACACAGAGAACTATTTTATCACTTTTTTCATTTTACCATCAGTTCTATGTTCGTACTGCTGAGTATTTTTTGGGGTGGGAAGCATCCTCAGATACACAAAATCTATGTAAAGTTGTGTGGTTTTGTAGAGTTGAGAGGGTTAGAGTTTGGGGGTTTTTTTTGTTTTTTGTTTTGAATAGCCCGAATGCCTATTCAGTGCCAATCTAAGAAAGAATGGAGTTAGCATTTTCACACCATTCCTTCCTATACAGTCCCTGAATAACCATCTAATCAAGATTTGTTTTCAATGGGGGACAAATCTTCTACAGTAGAGTATTTCAGATTTATTCCATTGGAATCTATACATTAATGCCCATTGGATGAAAAGGACGTCTTCACAAAAGCTTGGACTTTGCCTTGCTGTGGCAGAAACTTTTTCCCACTGTATTAGTGTTAAAAATAAAAGAAAGCCTGGGAAAGGAATTGCTTCAGCATTGTGTGCTGGAGAAATGAGGCACGCTTGAATGGAGAGGCAGGGTCCCCCATCACATCTGTACCCATATCAGCAAAATGATTCTGCCTTTCACGGCTGCTCACTGCAGTATGTCACCAGTGTACTCAGGGAGATGTTTAAGAATTGTGTCTACAAAGATCCAAATAGGCTTGTCAGGTCAGGTTGTATATGTGTGTAGTTTAAATTTGTCTCTGTGGTATTTAATGAAGTTGGTGGCAATATTACTGCAATAATCAAAACAGACTGCTTAGCAGATAACCCAATTGTTTAGATAGACTAAATTTGTAATCCAGTTCAGTCAAACAAGCAGTTTGAGTTTTTCTCATGAAATTGCATGTGTGTGTATGCATGTGTGCATGTGAATGAATGTGTGAAATAATGTCAGCTTTTGCTATTGACCAATTCTCATCTCTGAAGTAACCTCCATCATCTCTTTCAATGTCTTAATTTTTTTCTACCAACAATTAGGATGAGCCTACCTTTGGCAATTCAAGTTTCATTCCTCAGTGATCCAGTGTCTTACAGTGAAAAGAGCGTCAAGAGGCAAGGTTTTCCAGTCCTAACTCTATCACTTGCTAGCTGTGTAAAACTTGGGGCAAGTCATTTTGACACTTTGAGGGCCTCACCTTCCTCTTACATAAAATAGTAATAATAAGCCTTATCCTAAAAACACAGGATTGTTGTAAGGAATAAATGGGATGTTATATATGAAAGAGTTTTGTACGTTGTAAAACACTATGTGTATATTATTATGATAATTGTGATGGAGCTGCTTCCCAGAATTATCTGTCTTCTTCTGAAAGAAGACAATTCTGTCATATATGGTAGCTCTGCTGTTATCATCGTCACTGGTGCTATGAGCAAAAGTATGTTTAAGGGCTGTTTTCACCTGTGCAGAAAAAAAGGTTTTAATAAAGCCTTCCTACTCAGAGATGGTGATTTTATCACAGATAAAACCAGTTTTACTGCTTACTGTTTTACTTAAATGAAAGAGATCTTGGTGATAGTAAAATTGTGTCTAGATAACTCTACATTTTAGTGCCAGGACAAGTCGTTTAATTTCTCACATTGTTTCATCTAAAAAATATGTTCTTCAAGTTAGACGACTGAGGCTATGTTGAAGCCTCAAGCCTAGAAACATGAAAGCCATGCTAAATCACGGATAGGTATAAGCAGCTCGAGGGAGTACTAGGCAAACCTTTTTACACAGCTTTACAGCAGACACAGGGGACACGTAAGGCCCAGCCCTCATCCAAGGGCAAAGCATGTGATATAGTGAGGCAGTAAAGGGGGTGAACTCTAGAGCCAGACTGCATAGGTTCAAATGCCAGCTTTTTAACCAGTTGCCTGTGTGGCCTTGAACAAGTTTCTTCATTTCTCTGGCCTCAATTTCTCCATCATTAACATGGGGATAACAATACTATCTATTCCCTATGGTTGCTGTAAAGGTTAAATTAAATAGTAGACATAAAGTAGTTAGAATGGTGATTGACGCATGGTAAGCTCTAAAAAAAAAATGTTCTTCTTGTTATCATGGTATACATGCACGGGGAACTCAGCAAGAACTCAGAGTTTGGTCTGCTGAGTTTCTTAACATCCCTTCCTGGGTTATTGGTGCCTTCCTCTGGGGCCATATTTTGTATCAGCACAGTTATAGGATATTCACTATGATCCTTTAATCTGGCAAAGAGAGTTTGTTTTGCATAAGTGAAAAAGATGGAAGCTGTAGCCTAACACAGTATTTTAGGCACAAAACAGAGCTGATGGAGGTTGAAACAAGAAGGAATTCTCTTACATAAATTAATGCAAATTGTATCACTGAATGTGAACACGGAGCTTGAAGTAAGCATTTATCAAATTAGGCTCAGACAGCATGAGAGTGATCAATGGAAGCATGGTAGAAAAGCTAGTTACGCTCAGACTTCCCTGAGCAGGTCCTCTCTCTTCAGGCGGAGGAGAAAGAGCCTGATGAGGTAGGCATTCCTTCCGTGTGCAGGCCAGTACCTCTGGGGTTGCTTCTCAAATGACGCAGAGATCTGGTCACAGGCCAACGATCAGTACTTGGACCACTTGGTTTTGAAAGCCCACTTACTTGGCCTCTCCCAAGTTGATTGTTCGGCTATGAAGGCAAGAATGGGGTATCTGAGTGAAGAATTGTTTAGAGAGAGAGAGTCTTTAGAGCAAGGTAGAAAAATATAGGACTGAGTGCTATAAGCATCTGTTTTCCTTCTCAGTCTGGATCTAAATGTTCCCAACATGTCCCTCGTCTGCACAGCCTGAAGTGTAGAGGTGGTAGCTGACTGTTGCCTTCCTCCTAGGGGCTGTTTAATACTTCCGTTTAACAAGTGCATAGAGTACCCTGTTATCCCACTCCTGCTTTACTCCTGCTATTCTGGCCTAATTATTAACAGTACTTTCAGTCTTAAAAGTGCCCAGTTTGAATGATAAATGTGATCACCTAGGGTACTAAAGTCTCCCCAGTCAGCACTGCCATCTCTGACCTTTTAAACATTCCTTCTTCAGTAAGCCTCAGAAAATTCAGACACAACCACCCTAGAAAGTGCTCAGACAGATTGTCAGAGATGACAAGAAAAATGAGTAGATACAGAAAGCAGTATGCGATGCTTCTTTAGCTAGCAGATTGTATTCTGTAGCCCATTCCTCATCTGGAAACCATGGTGGCAGCTGTTTGGTAAACATCTTAGTCTGGGTTGAATTTTCTAAGAATTTTTGCATACATGGTATGGGTTTTGGTAATATACCATATAGATTAATAGGAAGAGGATTTATTTGTTAACTATGAATATTGTCACTGTCTAGGAATAAAATAAGGAACTTTGATAAGTTGGGGAAAGTCTAAACTTTTCCAGAGGACCTGGGCTTAGGCTTGTCTAAAGTGAACATACATTGTTCCATGAGAACGAGTCCTCTGTTTGCCTTTCAGTTCTTCTGCTGAAGTAGTAGGAATAGCAGACAAATGACCCATCTGGACAACCTCAGTTCTGCTGAAGCTCTGGGTGGTTAATATGGATTCAATACCCAAAAAACCTGGGGCACTGAGGCTAGAATGGGGCAAAATCCAAGGCTTTATTCCCCCTAGTCCACCATACCTAAGGCTTGTATGGTACAGTCTGTCCATCTCCCTTCTTGTGTCTGCAAGGAGAGTGCTTCTAGGAGCCATGAGCATTACTCCTGAGTCCTAGGTGTTAGAGACACAGCCACTAGATCTGACCCATGTCCTGTTATGTGTCTGCCTTAACGTGCTGCAGGTGACATCAGTTGCAAGGGGATGACCGAGCGCATTCACAGCATCAACCTTCACAACTTCAGCAATTCCGTGCTCGAGACCCTCAACGAGCAGCGCAACCGTGGCCACTTCTGTGACGTGACGGTGCGCATCCACGGGAGCATGCTGCGTGCACACCGCTGCGTGCTGGCAGCCGGCAGCCCCTTCTTTCAGGACAAGCTGCTACTGGGCTACAGCGACATCGAGATCCCGTCGGTGGTGTCAGTGCAGTCGGTGCAAAAGCTCATTGACTTCATGTACAGCGGTGTGCTGCGTGTCTCGCAGTCGGAAGCTCTGCAGATCCTCACGGCCGCCAGCATCCTGCAGATCAAAACAGTCATTGATGAGTGCACGCGCATCGTGTCACAGAATGTGGGCGATGTATTCCCGGGGATCCAGGACTCGGGCCAGGACACACCAAGGGGCACTCCCGAGTCAGGCACATCGGGCCAGAGCAGCGACACAGAGTCGGGCTATCTGCAGAGTCACCCACAGCACAGTGTGGACAGGATCTACTCGGCGCTGTACGCATGCTCCATGCAGAATGGCAGCGGTGAGCGCTCCTTCTACAGCGGTGCGGTGGTCAGCCACCACGAGACTGCACTGGGTCTGCCCCGCGACCACCACATGGAAGACCCCAGCTGGATCACGCGCATCCATGAGCGCTCACAGCAGATGGAGCGCTACTTGTCTACCACCCCCGAGACCACGCACTGCCGCAAGCAGCCCCGGCCCGTGCGCATCCAGACCCTGGTGGGCAACATCCACATCAAGCAGGAGATGGAGGACGATTACGACTACTATGGGCAGCAAAGGGTGCAGATCCTGGAGCGCAACGAATCCGAGGAGTGCACGGAAGACACCGACCAGGCCGAGGGCACCGAGAGTGAGCCCAAAGGCGAAAGCTTCGACTCCGGCGTCAGTTCCTCCATAGGCACCGAGCCCGACTCGGTGGAGCAGCAGTTTGGGCCTGGGGCGGCGCGGGACGGCCAGGCCGAGCCCGCCCAACCAGAGCAGGCTGCGGAAGCCTCTGCTGAGGGCGGCCCGCAGCCGAACCAGCTAGAAACAGGTGCCTCCTCTCCAGAGAGAAGCAACGAGATGGAGATGGACAACACAGTCATCACTGTCAGCAACAGCTCCGACAAGAGCGTCCTACAACAGCCTTCGGTGAACACGTCCATTGGGCAGCCATTGCCAAGTACTCAGCTCTACTTACGCCAGACAGAAACCCTCACCAGCAACCTGAGGATGCCTCTGACCTTGACCAGCAACACACAGGTCATTGGCACAGCTGGCAACACCTACCTGCCGGCCCTCTTCACTACCCAACCCGCGGGCAGCGGCCCTAAGCCTTTCCTCTTCAGCCTACCACAGCCCTTGCCAGGCCAGCAGACCCAGTTTGTGACAGTGTCCCAGCCCGGCCTGTCCACCTTTACTGCACAGCTGCCAGCGCCACAGCCCCTGGCCTCATCTGCAGGCCACAGCACAGCCAGTGGGCAAGGCGAAAAAAAGCCTTATGAGTGCACTCTCTGCAACAAGACTTTCACCGCCAAACAGAACTACGTCAAGCACATGTTCGTACACACAGGTGAGTGCAAGCCCCCCTGGAGGCCTGATTGGCCAGGGTGCTGAGAGGACTGTGGGAAGGGAAGGGCAGGACAGCATGTGAAAGGGAAGGTTTGGAGTTATCTTTCAGATTTTAAAGAGACCCTACTGCAAGCTGTTTCTAGAAGCCCCAGCTGTGCCCCCATAATTGGAATGAAGCACCCTGCCACCAAAAGACAAAGTTGCAGATACCCTTTATAGAGAAGGGATGTCTTAGGGATGTCTAGGCCACAGAAGAGAAGACTTAGGGCATCATATAAGCCATACTCAAGTATTTCAGCTTTGGAGGAAGTAGAGCTTGAGGTTTGGAGCCAGATTGCCTGTTTTGAATTCAGGTTTATTCCCTATCAAACTTTGTCACCTTGGTAATATTACTTAACTTTTCCATACTTCAGTTTTCTTGTCTGTAAAATGAGAATAATAGTGATTCACCTTCCTTATAGTGCTGTTTGGAGAATTTATGTAATATATGTGAAGTTCTTAGTATAGTTCCTTATCACCTAACAAGCACTCTAAAATGGTAACTATTATTAGCATTATTAAAATGGTTAGGAGGAGGAAACATTAGAGTTTATTCTGTTTGGCTCCAAAAGATAGAACTAGACCAATAATTGGAAGCTATGTGGAGATTCTCTCCATTAAATAAAATAAAAAGTTTGTTAATAATCAGAGCTGTTCTAAGATGGGATAAACTGCTTCCAAAGGGAGTAAGTTCCTATAATTAGAGGTATTCAAGGAGAGAATGAATGATAATTTCATAGGGATGTTTAGAAGGGTTTCAGTCATCAAGATGGGCAAGATGGTTTTTCATCCCTGGATTCCATGATTCCCAAGCTAAGATCTCCTGACCTCTCAGCCAGTGCTCTTTCCTAGCTCCTTAATGAGATAGACATGCAAGTAGAAACTAAACCTATATGATTATGATTTCACATAGATTTTCTTATGCCTAAAAATACTTACCACAATGATGATCATTATATTTGAAATTCTTAAGAATCTCTGGTAAACTTCTGGTTCCAGAATACCCCTGTTAAATGGCATGGAATTTGCCAGAGAAAAGTTATATACTTGAATTCCAATACGTGGAAACAATTTAGTTTCTCAAAGCAACCTTGTTCCTAATATCAGCTTGTAAGAATCTAAGAAATAGGACATAAAACAGACAAGTTTAAATTGGGGACCAGAAGGGAATGAAGTCAACAGATATGGAGACAAGGTATCCAAGGTATGGAAGTGACAACTGAAATAGAACATTACTTAAGATGAACTTTGCCTTCTTTGCAGTTTAACTTGAGTGAGGGCATTATGTAAATCATTATATGTGCCTTTACGGGAATCACTTGTTAGACTACAGTTTTCACACCTCCAAATAAGCATAGTGACTCACTACTGAGTTTAGGAAGAAAATTAGATAGTGGTAAGTCACTACTGTATTGAGTTGGGGTAAATGTGAATGCATTAATTACCTGAGATCAATCAAGGGAAATTTTCCATGTGGTATGGGTATCATCATTATTAGGTGAATTAATCAAATAGCAATATTTTTATTTATGGAACAACTTATGGTTTACAGATAGTTAGTATACTTTCCTCGGCTGAGTAACTGTCTTATAAGCCTTCAAATTAAGTGTTGGGGAGAAAGATTTGTGGGAGTGTCTCCTTAGCCAAAGGTGACTTTGCTGGTCTTGGATCCATAAACATATCTACTCTGTCCTTCAGTGCATCTCTTCCAGTAGACCTATCGGATATAAAACTCATACATTATACTAGATCACATATTAAAATAAGTCTTTAAATTTGCAGCATAAAATTTCAGTGTACCACCAAAAATTGTCTTTTTGATATATAAATACCTCTCTCCAATGGATTCACCAAAGAATTCTGTGCTTAACCCAAGTAACTAGATTTGCCCATGAGAAAAACTGCAATGGTTTTGAACACTTAGATGTCACCAATGCAAAAGCTACAGGAAAAGTCATTTTAAACATCTGAGTTATGCTCAAAGTGTGGTCTTCAGATCTCAAGGTCCTCGGTAAATTATGAAGGCTTTTGTACTGGTTTATATAATATGGCCAATTTCTGGAAACAATTAATAAATGCACATATATCAATCAAACACCTCACTTAAAAGAAACAGCACTCTTCCCTTTCACTCCAGAATTGTTTGGCAGTGGCAATTTGGAAAGCCCATTTGTCTTTGAAGGCTTTTGTCTAACTGAGGGAGTCCCTAACCTAAGAACGTTGGTCAAGATTTTCAAAAGGCAAGACAACTTGAACATGTGGAAGTAATTCAGGACCTGGATTCACTGTGGCCTACATTTCCAAACAAAGTGCTCTCCAATTTCTTGGGAAAACATCAAAAAAAAATGGGGCCTCACAACTTTACAAGACCTCAGTGGAAGTGATAAAAATCCAGAACAAAAAGACCAAATGTGAGTATAAAAAGATTCTAAAGAGTACTGGGGATACTTGGAAGAATAGAGATGGACTCAGTGTTCTTACCCCTAGCCTAACTGAAAAGAATCCTATCAAGAAAGAGTAGCTTGACAGAGCTGAAAGAAAAGAAATGTGGGTTCTCTCTATTACAACTACTGTGCAACAAGGTAGACCTGTGCAGTAACTGGCTTTGCATTTTAGCACCTCCAAGTTTAATGTTGATGGCACTTGCTTTCAACAACTGCAGAGAATCAATTCTGAGATCTGGGTTCCAATTAAAATTCTGAGTATTTCTATGTTAAGCATCCACATATTCATGAAATGTGTTTGAAACAAATAAGTAATTAGTCTGTATTGACTCTGAAGCCAAGCTCTACCTTAGAGAACTAGAAGCCCTAGTTGTAAAGCATATTCCATAAAGATTACAGTGGAGGCATGAATGAAAGATGATTGTATTGGAATTAGATGAGTTGGGTCCAGTTTTGTTTCTTCTAAATGGCTGTGTGGCTCTAAGCAAGTCACTTGATTTCACAGCCCTGTTTCTTTGAGTTTAAAATGAATAATTCTGGGCCAGCCCGGTGGCGCACTGGAGAGTGTGCCGCTCGGGAGCGCGGTGGCGCTCCCGCCGAGGGTTCAGATCCCATGTGGAGACCGGTTCCCGCTCACTGGCTGAGCGCGGAGCGGGTGCAACACTGAGGTTTGCGATCCCGTTGCCAGTCCCCGGTACGGGCGCGACACTGAGGGTTGTGATCCCGTTACCAGTCAGTAAAAAAGACAAAAAGGAAAAAAAAAATGAATAATTCTCCTGCCTTTGGAGTAGCTGTAAAAGTATAATGCATGTGAGAGCTTTTCATAAAACAAAGTATTACTTAATTTTTAAAAAAATCATCATCATTATTACTTTTGCCCCCTCCACTCAGGAGACATTGAGTTTCTTTGCTCTGTCTCCCATCTCTGAATAATACACTTTCAACTCATTTCTGTCCTCTACTGAATTCAAATGCTGAAGCATTGTGATACTTCTTGGGTTTCTCTTGAGTTTCCTTTACAAGAACATTTTTTTTAATTCCTTAATGATTTTTACAAGAGTAGAAGAAAATCTCTCACCTGACCACTCTCTATTCACGGCCAAACAAATCATGGTAGAACTTTATTACCTTTGCACTTACTGCAGCTTCATAAAAGTTATGAGAAAGGATACCAAAAGTTAAGGACATATTTAAAAGCAAGAGAATTAGAGAAAAAAACAAATATAACAAAACCCATTCTGTTATGGAACAAAACAGGGCTCATCTATATCTCCTCCAAAAACCAGGGGCCAAAATAAAGGAATAGAAATAAAAGGAAAAGACAGAGGACAAAGAAGAATAAGCCTTAATGTCAACATGGATATGGAAGCAAGCAATAGGAAAAATGTAAAAATAACTCAAGCAGTGGGATCCCCATACCAGCAGCATTCAACTTCTCACATGCTCCTCCCCGCAACTTGCTGAATCAGAAGCTCTGATGGAGCCCAGCAATCTGTGTTTTAACAAGCCCTGATACATGCTAAAGTTGAGAATCACTCTCCTAAGAGCTGAGCCTGGGTAATTAGGCTTCTCACATGCTCCTCCCCGCAACTTGCTGAATCAGAAGCTCTGATGGAGCCCAGCAATCTGTGTTTTAAAAAGCCCTGATACATGCTAAAGTTGAGAATCACTCTCCTAAGAGCTGAGCCTGGGTAATTAGGAGGAAGATGGCATCAAATTACTTTTATTACGTAACATTATTCACTGCAATTCCACTAATAAGAATCTGTGTGTTTAGAAAAAGCAAATTAGAGTTATGGATAAAAGCTTGATTTGTAGTGGATAAATTGTATTACAGAAGTTCATCTCTCACATGTGAGAAGTGAGCTGAGTCTTCCAAACTGCATAGGTATCATGGCAAATGTACTTGGGACTTAGCAGTACTAACTTGTATTATTATTATTATGTAGTCATCTTTACACCTTTCCATTAAAATGTAAACTCTGTGAGAGTAGAAACACACACATATATTCATACATATGCATACAAGGGCTCTTCAAAAAGTTCATGGAAAGATTCATATTGTCTTACAATTCAATTTTTCCATGAACTTTTTGAAGTATCATATGTCAGTATACCCAGCATAATACCTTACACATAATAAACACTTGATTGATGAATGAATTAAATCCTTCTCTAATTGTGTTGACCTACTTCCAAAAAGATGAATGATCTGTTTCCACAGAGCAGTTATTTTATGATTGTAGTTCCTCAGAAATTTTGCTAAAAAACTTTGTATATTTATATATTAAGTACTTTCTCCAAGGATCTAAACATGTTTCAGATACCATGTTTTATTTGTTCTTACCTTGCTGTGTGTAACAAAATAGAATATGTAATAATCAAAATGACCAGGATGACATTTGGGCTATTTATTTACCTCTATGTGGAGGGTTGCCAGATTTAGCTAGTATAAAAACGGAATTAAAAGATAATACGAATCTTTCTATGAACTCTTTGAAGACCCCTTGTATTGTAC